CCGCAATGTTCCCTGATCTCTGGTCTCCAGCCTGGTGGATGTAGGCCCATCCAGCCTCCCCTCTGCATTAGTGAGCGACCTTGCAGTGCCCACCGCCCCCGGGGTCATAGTGCCCCCACCTGCTTCTCCCCTAACAGACAGTCCACCCTGCTGCCCCTCCCTGTGTCCCCACGGCCTCTGACAGCCCACCCCACCCCGTTCCCACGTGCTCGCTAGAGCCTGAGGGCCCAGGTGCCCCCTTTCCGGGATGGTGGGGACTTCTCCACGATGGGGGCGCAGGGCGGGGGCACAGGGCGGGGGCACCGGGGGCTGAGGAGCTGACAGCTGCTGACAGGCAGGGGCGGGCACCATGGCAACCGTAGTGTATGTCTTTGTTGCTGCTGGTGATGGAAGGAGGCTGATCAAGGTCCAGAGTGAACCTCAGAGGAGCCTGCCCTCCCCCACCCACCCTTCGCTCTGGCCTGGGGGCCACCGGCCTCAGGGAGGCCATGCCCCCTTGCAGTTACCTGGGACCCTTCCTCAGCTTTGCTTTCCATGCTCCCCCCCCACCGTCACCCCCACTAACACCGACTCACACTGGACGGGAACCTCCCACACTAACACCGGCCAGCTCGGTCCCAGCCCTGACCCCGGCCTGGGTGTGGCTCAGCCTGGCCTCTCCTGCAGGAAATCGTGACCATCGTGGTGTTCGGTGTGGAGTACTTTGTGCGGATCTGGGCGGCGGGCTGCTGCTGCCGGTACCGCGGCTGGAGGGGGCGGCTCAAGTTCGCCCGGAAGCCCTTCTGTGTGATAGGTGAGACCGGAGGGGGTGCAGGCAGGCTGCCAGCCCCAAGACAGACAGGGGTATGTGCTGGCCCCGGAGGCAGGCCGAGACTGCTGACTGGCTGCTTCCAGAAGTTTCTCCCACCTGCCTCTTGGTGCCCGCGCCATGGTGAACACGGTGGAGAGGCGGGAGGAAGGCAGAGCCGTGGGGACAGCTGCTGCCCAGGGCAGGGCCAGGCAGGGTGGACCGTCGTGCGGCCCCCTTGCTGGCCCTTTGCATGTGGCTCCTGTCCATCTGTCCATCATCCTGGGGGCCCCCTCGCCTGCAGCCGGAACTGGCGGTGCAGGGGGCCAACCCTGCCTCGAGCCCCGCCATCTCCCGCAGACATCATGGTGCTCATCGCCTCCATCGCTGTGCTGGCCGCCGGGTCCCAGGGCAACGTGTTCGCCACGTCGGCGCTCCGCAGCCTGCGCTTCCTGCAGATCCTGCGCATGATCCGCATGGACCGGCGTGGCGGCACCTGGAAGCTGCTGGGCTCCGTGGTCTACGCCCACAGCAAGGTGAGCCACGCCCCCACACCCTGCTGCAGAGGCCCCGGGGGTCCCGGCACGCAGGACCCATCCCGTCCCTTTCCCGGGCATCTTCCCATGGGCTGTGCTGTCCCGGGAGGCTCTGTCTGGGGCGGCTGGTCCGTGGCGCGCTGTGTGGTCGGTGGGGGCATGGGGCCGGTACCGCCCAGGCACGGGACCCCGGAGGCAGGGGGTCAAAGTGGCTGTGTCAGGAGCCTGCAGCTCCACCCCCCAGGAGGAGCCCGGCAGCCCTTCCTGTCTGAGCCCGGAGCTGGGGGGTTGGTGGGCAGGCCAGGGCCGGGGTCGGTCCCCGGACATGCTGAGGTGCCGAGGACCTCCCGGCTGGTCCAGGAGCCTCCTCCACGCTCAGGGAGGTCATCCCAGGGCTGCAGCCTGAATGAATGCCTCAGACTGCTGGGGGAGCACCCTAAGCCTGGGGGACGGGGCCTGCTGGCCTGTGCATGGGAGGCGCCCAGGTCCAGGGACCACCCAGCCCTGGGACTGTGAAACTGAACGCCCTGCTCCCAGCCCCGTGCCCAGGGCCAGGGCCACACGGCCCAGCAAATGCTGGGGGCTCTGCGGGTTACCGAGCCCATAGCACGCCTGCCCAGGGTGGGGGACCCTCAGTGCTGCTAGGGTTGGGCCAGGCCAGACGCTGCCTGCTGGGGCTGGGCAGCTGTGACGTGGACCCTTCTTCCAGGAGCTGGTGACGGCTTGGTACATCGGTTTTCTGTGCCTCATCCTGGCCTCCTTCCTGGTTTATTTGGCGGAGAAGGGGGAGAACGATCACTTTGACACTTACGCTGATGCCCTGTGGTGGGGCCTGGTGAGTCCTGGCTGCTGGGTTCCTCATCCTTCCCTGCGGGTGCTCCCCCGCCTGCTGGCTGCAGCCCTACCCAGGAGGTGCCCCTGCCCCCGCTCCAGGAGACGGGAGGACTCTCGGCAGGAGGTGCTTCTCTGGGGCCACCTGCTGGCCAGTCAAAAGCAGGGTGCCCAGACTGGGCGGCAGGGCGTGTGCGTGGCTGGCGTGCAGGTGGACGGAGGCCACTGCCGTCTCCCGAAGACATCATGGTGTTCATCGCCTCCATCGCTGTGCTGGCCGCCGGGGAGCCTGTGCCCGGCTCTGGCCAGTCACTGACCTTCCTTTTTTCTCGGCCCTCGGTGTGTGAGAACTCTCAGCTGGAGGAGAGGAGGGGGCAGTAGGGACAGGAGACTTTGAAAAAGGGACACTGGGGCCCGTGGCTCTCCTGGGCTCCACCTTCCAGGCTGCCCCATCCAGGGGAGGTCTGGAGCCCTTGGCACGGCCGCCCGACTCCCAGGTCCCTGGAGGGCCCTCTCCTGTCATCTGCTTCTTCTTGGGCCACCCTGGGTGGGGACGGCCCCATGTCTGTGCCTTGTGGGGATAAGGCCGTGCCCTGTGGGCTTCATCCCCATTAGCTGGATGGAACTTGGCCTGGCCCCCACCCCGGCCCATGTCCACAGAGGTCCCTGGCAGGGCGCAGGAGGGCCCCTCCTTCGCGGGGCTCTTCCCGAGGGAGTGGAGTGCTTGGCCTGGGGGCGCGTGGAGGGTCGCATGGGTCCGCTGTCTCCCAGGACTCCAGACCCCCTTCCACAGATGCTGGTTGTGTGGCCTCTAGCGGATAATTCAGATCTAACGGGGAGAAGGAATGTGCAGCTTTTCCTCACATTTAAGTGAGAATGCGATTCATCTGTAATTATTTTATTGATCGCCGGGAGGCCTGGAGTCTGTGTCCTCTGATCCAGCCATGTGGGAAGTACAGGCCCTGGGCCAGTGGCTGGTGACGCAGCACATCCTGCCCCCAGGCCCCATTCTTGGACCCGTCTTCCCATCTCTGAGAACCGGAACTCTTATTTAAGGGTTTTACCGAAGCCATGTCTGCATATGTGCCCGCGCGACGCACGAATAGCATGCAGGTGTGGCCGTGAGCGTGCCCGCCCGCCCGGCCCGGGGGCAGAGGCAGCAACTCCTGCGGTCTTTCTCGGGGGTTTACCTCCAGATCCCAAGTAACATGCTTACACTGCTCTTTCCCGATGGAAGCTTCATACCTTAGTGACCCACTTGGAGGACCTTAGCTGTCCTTATCATTCTAGGGAGAGGTCCTATCTCTATCTGAGGGCCGCCTTCCTTCTGCTCTGCTGGCCTGCAGGGCTGGGGGTCCCTGGCTAGTGTCCCCGCACCTGCATCCCTCCCAAGCCCACCCCGACGCTCCCCTCGAGTCTCCCCTCACTCTGGAGGAGCAGGCCAGTGGCTCTGAGACCTCATGGCTATGGGTGTCCCACTGCCACACACCCGGCTGCTGGGAGCCACTGAGGGCGGCACCTTTCCCTCTGGGCACTTTGGGGACCATCTCCCATGTGCTTCTGGACCGGGGGCCTCAGTGGGGGGCCCTCCTATGCACCTGCTTTTACCACCTGGACTCCCGAGCCAGTCTGCCCACCTCTGTCTGGGCCTGACGATACCTGCACGGACCTCAGGACCTTGGGATGTGTCTGTCTGGTTCTTCTCAGTCTCCTCGTGTGTTTGTCCAGCTCCTAGGAGACGTGCCCTGCTTTTTGTCTCAGCCAGCTTCATGTTAACTTCATTTTCAAAATTACTTTGTTTTATGGATAAGATTTCTTGTCTCTGTGAGAGGATCTTGATGTCTTTGAGGTCTTCTGTCCCCTGGAGGGCTTTCTGCAACGCTTGGGTTCACCCGTACTGTTGCCCTTTTCATGGAGCCTGTCCCCCTGCCTGCCCCTCCCCCTCCGGCCTGTCCCCCTCTGGTCTGTCCCTCTGCTGGCCTGTCCCCCTGCCGGCCGTCCCCCTTCAGTCTATCCCCCAGCTTGCCTGTCCCCATGTCTGCCCACCCCCCACCGGCCATCCCCCTCCGGCTCATCCACCGGCTGGTCTGTCCCTCACTCCTGCCCTGGAGTGGAGGAGGGGCTCACTGTGGCTGGGGTCCAGAGGCATCTCCTTTCTGCTGGGGTCTCTCACCCAGACTCCTGTCCTGTCTCCTGGCCCCCAGCCCCGTCCTCTGAGTCCTGCTCCCGCCCTTGTGTCTCCTCTCCACAACCTCAGCGGTTGCCCCGTAGAATTTTGGGGGGAAATGGTGGTTTGAAGTGTCTTTTGTCTTTAAAATATGCGTATTTATACTGAAAACCTTGGTAATCCCGCACTTAGTGAAGTTTTGACCAGGGAGGTTTTAACGGTGAGGAGTGGGTCCCCTTATGGCCCTTGCCCACTCCTGGCTGCCCTTTCTCACTACCGGTCCCTTTCCAGAACTTTCTACGCAGGCCTGAATGGGGATGATGTCCCCCTTCTCACTGTATGTACGCAGGCCCAGAAGTCCCTGCCCGGGGGACCATGATTCATCCAGTGCTGTTTTCCAGACTCCACGGTGGGCTTTAGGTGGGCTCCGTGCCCTGGAGTCCAGGGGACAGCCCCAGGGGCTGCTGGTGGGTGCTGAGGGATGTCCCATCGGCAGAACTGGTGGGGGCAACCTGGATCTCACCCTGCGGGCAGCGGGCCTCCTGTGTGCCTGAGGGCCTTGTGCGTGGGTATAGCCCTCCCCGCTGCACACCAGGGAGCCGGTCTTGCCTCCCATCCTGCTGGGGCAGCTCACGTGCCCTACACCTCTGGGGGGCCCTTCCCGAACTTCCGGCCTCTGCTTCTAAGTCACCTTCCAAAGGCCCCATTGCACGAAGGTCCCATCCTGTCTCTGTCCTCTGCCCCCTGGGGCTCCTGCTTGGCACCACCCCTGTCCAGCTGCTGGTTCTTCCTGGGCTTTCTGACTGCCGCCCCTGCCATGAGCCCAGAGCTGCCACCTGCCACCCCCCACCCCCGTGGGAAGCTGCTCGGCCTCCTTGCTTGGTGGCTCCTCCGGCTCTGACAGGTGTGGAGTGGGAAGAGAGGCTCCTGGGGACCCCACAGCCCGCCCTGGAATGTAGAGAAGGAGGAGGGATCTGGAGAGTTAGCGGCTATCGCAGGGATGAAGGGCGGCAGTGTGGGCCCCGGCCTCACTGGGCCTCGTGTGGTTGACGTGGGAGGGGTGGCCTGTGTGCCTGTCCAGCGTGTCCTGAGGGCGGGCTTTTGTGTAAGACTCCTGGGGGCTAGGAATAGCGTCCAGGTCAGGGTTATGGCCTCCACAGTGGTCACGGCCAGGCCTGGCTGACTGACCGTCCTTCCTTTCCACAGATCACCCTGACGACCATTGGTTATGGAGACAAGTACCCCCAGACCTGGAACGGGAGGCTCCTGGCTGCGACCTTCACCCTCATTGGCGTCTCCTTCTTCGCTCTTCCCGCGGTAAGTCTTGCTGCCCCTTCCTGCCTTTGGTGGGGGCCACGTGCAGGCCCAGGCTTCTGTCCACTTGGGGTCCATGGGATGGGGCACAGCTCCCAGCAAGGTCCCCAGCACTGCGGGAGCTCAAGGCGGCAGGTCTGGTGCAAAGAGGTGCCCTTCGCCCTTTCAGGGCTGCCCTGGCCGGGGGCTGGTGGGGGCACTCTGTCCTCGAGCTGTGGCCTCTCTCTGTCACTCTTTGGCCTCTCAGCCTTACAGGACTGGCCAGTAGGCCCCTGTGACCAAGAGCAGTGCTTTGCGGTGCACAGATCCCTTGTCAAGTCTCTAGGCGACCTCACAGAGGGGACGAGGGCTCTGTTAACCGTCAGCCATGGCTGGGCAGGACAGAGGGCAGCTGGCAGGGGACCCTGCTCTCCCCCAGGAACCTGGGCCTGCTCTCCCGTCAGGGCCCACGGTCAGGAAGGAGGACGATCTCTGGGCCCAGGCGGGTTTCAGGGGCACATCGTCATGCACATGCAAGCCAGAGGTTTCCTTGACCCTAAATTCAAGTGTTCTCCCCCAGCTTGGTCCCCCGGTGGTTAGGGATGGAGGCGGTGGTGGGGCCGAGGCCGTGCGTGCCCCCAGCGTGTGTGGGCTGGGGCGGGATTGGGTGCTTCGTCCCCAGGCACGTGGTCTGACACTGACAGTTCACAGGGCATTCTGGGGTCTGGCTTTGCTCTGAAAGTTCAAGAGCAACATCGGCAGAAGCACTTTGAGAAGAGGCGGAACCCTGCAGCGGGCCTGATCCAGGTGAGTCCCCGCGCCCCCCGCCTCCCCCACACGGACAGGCCGCAGCCCTTTGCAGGAGCACACCGAGCGTGGAAGTCAGGGCCACGTGTTGGGAACCAGTGTAGACACCTAAGTCCTGTAGTCGTGACAACATGGGCGGTGGCTGTTGTCCTGTGTGGGCCGCGGGCCTCTGGAGGGCAGGTGTGCTGGCTCGACCACGCTGCACGGAGACCCCGCTCGGCGAGCCGTGCAGCCTGTCCCACTCCTGGGGGCTCAGATCCCCTTGGGGTCCAGCCATGCTTCCTGAGTGGGACCCCCAAGCAGCAGGTTGCTCAAAGGGCCCCTCTCCAAAGCCGGGGAGCCGGTGGACATGGCCTTGCCCTCCCGGGTCTTTCCTTTATAAAGATGGGGACTGCCCTGGGGGTATCTTACCTCTCAGTTCTCAGGAACTGGATCAAACTCTTACATCAGCCAGGGCAGTGTGCCTGAGAGCAGCTGCTGGGAGCATGTGGTCTAAACGCCCTTGACTAGCACCCCTGCCCCTGGCCCCAGGACGTTCCTGGTATGGCTGCTGGCGTCGGGGAGGGGCAGGGGTGCCTCGTTCTAGAAGTGTGGTGGTTTGCTTTGGGCTCTGATGGCCCCCAGAAAGGTCAGCTCAGGACTTTACCTGGACATTGTCTCAGGGCTGGAGTGGCCCCTGGACACATGGACGTCGGTAGGTCACCAGTGGACAAATTTCAAAGGAGTAGTGGCATACGTTTGACGTAGAACTCATCTTCTGTTTCTTTACGTGGTTTAAAAGATGAATGTGTAAGACAGCAGCCACAGAGCCGCATTCTGGCTCACAGGGCATCAGATGTGATCTCTAACGGTGACAGCACGGGGCGGGGGTGGCCAGGGGTGTGGGGAGCAGGCTTTGTGCATTGTTGCGGAAAAGCGGGCCTGCATTTAGACTAGACGACTGTGGGCATGAGACACCAGCCTCATCCACAGGGTGACCATTCAGAAAACAGCTTTTATTAAAACTTCAGGAGAGGGCAAGAGAAGGGAGTCCAAGTAAAACACCAGATGATGTAAAAATGTAAAAAAAAAAAAAAACCCACAAAAACCACCAGATGATGTAAAACAGTCTAACCCAGGGTTAGGGGGTGGGGGGCCCAGAAGCTCACGCAGCAGGAGGCCCGTCCGTAACCACGTTACATGGACATGGATTGAGCTCTCCCAGTTGAAGAGCGGTGGGGGGGTGGGCAGAAAAGATTTAAAGTCTACCCAGCTGTGTGCTGTGTGTTGGAGACTCACCCCAGGCCTGGGGACAGTGACAGGCTGAACACATAGGAACGGAGAGAGAGAGTCCCCGGGAACCCTGACCTCCAGAGGGCCAGGGCGTACACCGAGCCCAATCCTGTGACAGGAGTCAAAGAAGGTCGGGACACGTTGACAGAAATCAGTCCACAAGGAACAGTGACCATCATGTACACACTAACGCAGAACCCCAAGTATATGCAGCAGAAACGGACAGAATTATAGAGCAAAATAGACGTTTGTGTGGTAAGAGCTGGAGACGTGGACGCCCCAGCTTATCCTGGATGGAAGAGCCTGGGACACAGAAGACCTGGGCCCAGGAGCCGGCCGGACCTGCAGATGCCCTGGGACAGCCCAGCGCGCTCCTGCTTGGAGCACAGGGAACATTCCCCAGGACGGACCATATCTGGGGCCACAGAACAAGTCTCAAACGATGGTATTATAAACATCCAACAGGAAAGAACGGTCTCTTCCACAAATGACGTTGGGACGACCAAACATCCAATTTTAAAAGAATAGTGTTTGACTCTTTTACCGAATTAACTGAAAATGGGTCAAGAACCACATTATAAGAGCTAAAACTGAAATTCTTAGAAGAAAACAGGAGTGAATTTCCATGGCTTTGGTTTCTTAGGATACCTAAAGCACAAGCAAGAGAGAAAAAAAACCATGGGGTTTTATCAAAATTAAAAAGTTTTGTGCTTCAAGGGACACTATAAAGAAAGCGAAGAGTTAACCCACAGAATGGGAGAAAATATTTGCGTGTATTTCTGAGAAGAGTCTACTATCTAGAACATAAGGAACTTCCACAACTCCGGAACAAAAAGACAAAGTAATTTGGAAATGAATTTGAGCAGACGTTTCTCCCGAGGAGACACCGGGAAGGCTAATAAGCACGTGAGAAATGCTCCCCATCATTTGTCGCCAGGGAAACGCAAACCAGAACCCACGAGAGCTGTCCTCACACCCAGGGCGCTGAGGTGGGAAAGCAGGGGAGAGGTGGATGCGGAGAAACTGGAGCCGGGGTACCTGGGTCCTCGGGGTCCGCACTGCCTGAGGACCCGGCAGTGCCCCCGTGTGCATACATACCCCAAAGACCTGAAAACCGGGGTTCAACCGAAATCTTCCCCAGGACATTTGCCGCGGCGCTCCTTGCAGTAGGACAACCCGCGCCTCCTGCGGAAGAACCAATTACAGCGTTTGCGAATGAGGGGTCGTTATCCGAACCTGCAAAGAACGGATGGGCCTTGCAAACGTCGTGATAAAAGCTGGTCACCAAAGGCCGGGTGTGGTGTGGTCGTGCTGAGGGGACGTCGGGCGCAGAGGGGGGACGCAGGTGGACGCCCCGGGCTGGCGGGCGCGGGGCTCCCCGGGACCAGCTGTGACGGTGGTTGGGCGGCGGCCGTGTAAGCGCACCTGTTGCCCCGAGTCGCAGACTTTGAAATGGCGCATCTCTGTGTGTTTCACCACGAAGAGAACTGAAAACCAGCGGAAGCGGAAGCTCTGGCCAGATGAGGACCCTCTGGGGCCCAGCCAGGGCTGCACTCAGGCCCCTCTCCCTCACTGAGCGCCCAGGTCGTGGCTCCCGGGAGGAGCGAGGCGTCGGGGGAGGAGCAAGGTGGGAGGATTGAAGCGCCTGTCCCTGCTCTGCCCCTGGCCCGGGCTCCTGGGGTCACCCATGTGTACACCCAGCGTGAGGTCCGCCTGTGGGCTGGGAGCGCAGGGGTGACCGCCAGCGGCCGGTGAGGCGGGTCCCGGAAGGCTCCGCGCAGGCGTGTGCGCCGTACAGAGCGTCCCCTGAGGCGGGCAGGGGCCGGGCACCCAGGGAGGTGTCTGACCCTCGCCCCTCTCCCTCTGCAGTCGGCCTGGAGGTTCTACGCCACCAACCTGTCCCGCACGGACCTCCACTCCACGTGGCAGTATTACGAGCGCACGGTGACTGTGCCCATGTACAGGTACCCGCCGCCGCCGCCGCCCCATGCACTGCTTCGCCTAGGGTTCATTTTGTTTGTTCTAAAACCCATCTTTTGGTTGTTCATGATTTTCATTGATTTTTCTTTTTTTTTTTTTTGTAAACAATGTGTGTACTTTTCAAGCAGTTCTGTGTGTGATTTATTTCGCAGCATTAATTTTGTTCTTTGTTTTGTAGCTCGTCGTTCTCACCTCCATCCACCCCTTTCCTTAGCTTCCTTGCTGTCGGTCGCACTGTGTTGTGGGCGTTGTGGAGACCGGCCCTCCCGAGAGCTTCTCGGGGTCCGCAGCCTGGCACCGAGCCCCGGCAGGGCCGGCCCCAGAGCCTGGGAAGTGGAAGGGTAACTTTGACCCTCTGCCCGTCAGCGAGGACCAGGGTTGCTGTGTTGAGGAAGGGCCCCATCAAGGCTCCAGGGCCAAGAGGGCCCTGCCCAGGGCAGCAGGGACGATCCCGTCACCCCCCGACCCCTCCCCCCGCCCCACAGAACACAGCACGCAGACCACTGGCAAGTGCCCTCTGGTGGGAGTGGAGGGCCGGGAAGCCCTCACTGGGAGCCGTTGGTGGAGGCAGAGCCAGTGGCCCCTGAGGCCCCGGGGTCGCCAGCACGCAGCGTTCCACATTTTCTCAAGGGCGGGTGGCAGCCCAGAGTGAGAGCGTGGCCCCCCCAGGGTGTATCTGTGCCAGGCTCTGGCGAAGAACAAGGTCTGAGGTGAAATGACCTGGGACCCTTGGGATATACCCCATCCTGCTGGCCTGCCCTCGCCTGGAGGGGGGTAAGCTGAGCCCTGGGGCTCCCCAGCCTGAGGGGAGGCAGGCCCCTTGTCTGCCCTAGAGGTTCCTCCCCAGGGCCCTCACCGGAGGGTGGGCTCATGGCCAGCTGGGGTAGGGCTCTAGGCTGGGCAGCAACCCCTTGAGGACCCCAGGTTAGCGACGGCCAGGCAGGGTGGGACTGTCCCCTCCTGCCCCTGCCTCTCCCCTACAGAGACGCGTCACCAGGCCAGGGCATGTGACCCCACCATTCCCCCTGGGAACTTTCTGGAATATTCCACCCCCGGGCACACACCTTCCTGGGAGTGCCAGAGGCTCTTGCTTTCCCAGCACTGCGTTCCAGCCCTCGGGCCTCAGCAGGGTGGACCCTTGTGCTAATTTTCTTTGTTCTGTTGTTTCCCCCACTTTCCTTGACCATTTGGTTCATTTTCTTTTTCTTATCCCGTTCTTTTAAAATTTCCGTTCTTTTCCCTTTGTGTGTGTGTGAAAACACTTGAAAGCTCGCAAACTCAAACCTACGGGGCCTCCAGGTAGGAGATGCATGGGCCGGACAGCGTGTGTGGTGTGGTTGTTCTGTGTCTGGGGCTGGTACGGGGCTGCCCCGGAGCCCCCCTCCCTGGGTCCCCCGGTCTGCAGAGCAGGGCTGCCGGCCAGCACCCCCGCACCTGTGCCCCAGCCCGTGTTCCCCATGCCGGGCACAGGCGCTGCCCTGCTCCTCCGTGGCCCCTGCCTGGAGCCCAGCGCCCTCTCTGACCTCCCCCGCCCCCGTCAGCTGCTTTCTCGGCCTGGATCCGTCTGTCCTACCTTGTCTTCTGTTCCTTGTCCTGCTTCCTGCCTTGTCTCAGTAGCCGTGTCCCTCCCCACACCTCCAGCTTCACCCGCAGGCCTCTCATGCAGGGCACTGAGCTGGTGGAGACGGGGGCTTCCTCCATTCCGGCCGGGGAAGGGCACCGTGTTCCCAGCAGGCAGCTCACCTCTGACGCTGCTTGGACTCCCTCTCTAGACCTGGGAGGACTGAGAGCCTGGGGTCCTGTCCCCAGTCACTCTGTCCACACCGGCAGTGGGGGGACACAGAGGTCTCACTCCTACCGCAGGGAGGAAAGGGGCTCACTTGCCCAGAGTGGGGGTGCTGAGCTCCTACAGGAAATCGTTCCCCATGCACAGCACAGCCCCTCTGTAGGTCCTTCCCTGAGGGACGGGGACGGACAATGTGGGATGAGTGCATCCGCACACAGGCCAGCAGAGCGAGGGTCCACAATCTCCCCGTGTAGACCAAGCCTGGGGTCCCCAGGCAGAAGCTCTTGTCCTATGGTGCCCCGCGTGGGGACTGTGTTAGACCGCTCACCCTCTCCCCAGATGGCAGTGGGGTGCGGAGCCCCATGGGCATTTCCTCCCTAGCACCTGCCATTTACTGGCCGCTTGCCCCAGAGGCTTCGTGCAAAGGAGGAGGCGGGCAGGGGGCAGTGTCCTTCCTGGGGTGCTGGCCCTGGGCTCCTCGGGCTCCAGGCTGCCCCAGCAGTTGGGGGGACCCTGCTTGAGGTTCTTCCTAGCCTCCCTTGGCCCATCTTCTGCAGCCAGTCCCAGCCCCTCCCCACCTCGGCCTGGGTGACGAGAGTTGTCCGCTAGGAGCCCCTGCTCACTCCTGTGGGATGCCCCCCAACACGTCCCCTACTCCTGTTGGCACGCTGCACCCTCGTCCTCCATGACCGCCCTCCAGGTGATGGGGGCTGTGTGTGTGGCCCTCACGTGTGTGGTGCGTGCACGCCCCTGCGGTGGCCCTGCCCGTCCATGTTCCATCCCCTGCTGCTGTGTGTCCAAGGCATGACATCCTATCTGCGTGCCCCTCCACTCGTACGTGTGTGTGTGTGTGTGTGTGTGTGTGTGTGTGTGTGTGTGGGCTGAACAGGGGGTGCTGTCCGCGGTCTCTGCTGCAGGCCCATAGGTGGGTGGTTGAGGGGGAGTGGAGAGGCTGGTTTTGTCCCCGTGTCCAGCCCTGGGGCCTCTGCTGTGCTGGTGACGTGAGCCAACCTGATTGCCCTCACCTCCTGCTCATTCTTGACCTGCTAGGACTGGGCTGGGCCTGGAGGAGGAGGGGCAGGGAAGGGGAAGGGTAAGCAGGAGGGAGAGGAGAGGGAAAGCTCACGGGGTGCCCCTAGGAGGAACCTGGCTTTCCTCCAGAGGGAGCTGAGCTAGACCAGACAAGCAGTGACTGAGGGCAGGACCCACAGGGCAGGGTGGGGGGGCACTGGCGTCAGGAAGCCGGGCAAGGAGGTGTGTGGAGGGGCTGGAGCAAAGCCAGACACTAGGAAGCTGGCATCCGTGCCATGGATTCAAGGGGCCAGCAATCCTTTGACTCTGGGGGCACTGGGGAGCCACTGAATGATGTCCCATGAGGTCAGGGTGGGGTCCGGCCAGGCCTGTGGGTGGAGAGAGGAGGAGGTAGACACCGCGGGCAGGTGAGGCTGAGTCCCCAGGGTAGAGATGCTGTTCCCTCCCACACCAGGGAGAGGCTTAAGACACTGATGCTGGACAGGGGCCCCATGGGCTGGGGTGGGTCAGCTGTCCCCAGGGTCAAGGAGAGATAGGACAGGGTTAGGGGCTGCAGCTGGGTGGGGGTCTTTGAGCATGGTTTTAAAGAAGTGCTTGGAATTCCAAAGCTGAAGGCAGAGTGGGGGGGGTCATGGCAGGGTGGGGGGTCACAATGGGTTGGGGGGGTCACAGCCGAGTGGGGGGGTCACGGCAGGGTGGGGGTTCACAGTGGGTTGGGGGATCACAGCCGAGTGGGGGGGTCACAGCGGGGTGGGGGAATCACAGCAGGGTGGGGGTCACAGCCAAGTGGGGTTGTCAGAGCAGAGTGGGGGTGTCACAGAGGGTGGGGGTCACAGCGGGGTGGGGAGCTCACAGAGTGTGATGGGACGTCAGCCGGGTGGGGGCTGCATCAGGAAGGAGAGACCAGGGCCAGGGTCTAGTAGGACAAGGGGTGTTTGTTCAAAATGAGATGAGAAGTGTCTGGAGGGCAGAAAGTAGTGAGACCTGAGTCAGACAGAGGCTGGGTGAGGGAAAGAACTAGCCCCGGATGTTGGGAGCAGGCTGGAGTCCCCCTGAGGGGCCCTAGTCCTGTGGCTGGAGGTGGGGACAGCTGGGGGTCCCCCAGGAACCTCCCAGGGTGTGCATGTCCCCGGCCTTGGTGTCAAGGTGAGGAATTAATTACCTTCTCGGCTTCCATGGGACTTCTGGCTGGAGCTGCCCGGGGGCCACCGTGGGGCTGCAGGCGGGGGTGGCTGGACCTGAGGTGCGTCCTGGGTGGGTGTGGCCTGGTCTGGGAAGGGGCGTGGAGCCGGGCGGGGCTTGCCAAGGATGCAGGGGCTTTTCCTCCAGCCGCCCAGGCAACTCACGGGTAGCTTCTTGCTACCCGCCAAAACCTGGACCCTGGCCCCGGCCCTGACTTCCGCAGAGGGCGTTCCTTTGCAGAGAGGGGTGCTGTACTGCCCCCTTGGAGGTGTTCAGGGATTGGAGAGGGAGAGGGGAGGGTAGAAGGGCCCCCCAGCCTGTCTTCTGGGAACTCTGGCCAACTTCCGCGTTCCCCATGGGCAGTCCGGGGGCTGTGCATGCTGGTGTGCCCACCTCAGGGCCTTGGCTCCCCTGAGGGGCGCAGCCCAGAGGGTGCAGATGGCCCGCAGCGGCTTGGTGGCCAGGGAGCTCTCCCCTCTCCCTGCCTGGGACAGGCCGCACCCATGGCCCCAGCATCACCACCGCAGGTGCCTGTGTGTGACGTGGACGCTGGCGAGAGCCAGGGTGTGGGTCCCCCAGGCTCTGGCAGGCAGGAGCTCACTGTGTCTCTTATCGCCGCAGACTCATCCCGCCTCTGAACCAGCTGGAGCTTCTGCGGAACCTTAAGAGCAAATCCGGGCTCACCTTCAGGTCAGCAGAGGGGCTCTGGGCTGGGCGCCATCCTGCGAGGGGACCCCGGTCAGGGGCCGGCAGCTACCAGACGCCCTGGGGTCTGGAGATCCTGGTATCTTTCCAGTTCTGCCAACATGGTGGAGGCTCCCATCCCCAGAGGGTCGCTGGTTTGGGGGTGGGCACGGGCGGTGGAGAGCCGGCCCCGCATCTCCCTGGAGCAGTGGCCAGTCGCACCCACTCTGGCGCCTGCTGGTTCCTTGTGATGGTGAACTCTGGGACTTGAGCATGGGGGGCACAGAGCCGGCTGTGTGGGGGAGGGGGGCCCAGCAGGAGAGTGGACAGAGAGATGGCCGCCGGGGGCCCCATGCCAAGGGCTGCCCCCAGTGGCTTGCCGCCTCTGAAGAGGTGCCGTGGGGGGTGAGCAGGGACCCACTTGCCCCGCCGAGGTACGTCCACCCTGCAAGCTGGACACGAAACCTTCCTTGGAAAGTCTTTGTGGACGTTACTAAGGAAAGGGTGTCAACACGAGATCCTTCTGGGTTAGCACCGGCCCTAAGTCCATTTGTGAGTGTCCATAGAGGAGGCAGCAAAGACGGCCACACGAAGGGAGGCAGAGATGCGGGTGCTGTGACCACAAGCCCGGGATGCCTGGGGCCACCAGGAGCTGGGGGAGGCAGGAACCAGAACGTGGCATCCTGCCGTGTAAGCTCCTTTGCTCTGGTGTCTCTGGCCAGTGGGTGCAGCTCTTGCTCCTGGGACCGAGGGGGCTGCGGTGCGGAAGTGAGTGCTCCTGGGGACATGGCCACTCCTGTCAGACAGGGGCAGACAGCGAGGGGGACCTTGGGCCAGCATGGGCCAGAAAGCAGACCTAGGATGTACCCGGCTTCTAAGCTGGTGTGGAAAATGCCGTCTGGTTTCCCTTCTGGTTATGGAAAATGCGCGGAGGAGGGGAATTCAAAGAACTGAGCAGAGAAGCCAGCACGGGAAGGCTTATGCCTTGGCCGGTCCAGGCCACAGGAACTCTAAGTTAGGGACACAGCGGGTGGGGTGGGGGAACGCTTGCTCTGGAAAGGGGACCACGGGCATGGCTGGATGGCCGTGGTGGGAAAGCTCCTATGGGTGGTCGGGGGGTCCCCTTCTCGGCACAGGGGAGTAGAATGGGTCACCCAGAGGAGATGTGGGAGGCCCTCCTGCACAGGGGCGTCGGTCTGGGGGTGTATGTGGGGGCATGTACATGGCCCACAGAGTCTTAGAAATGTTATTCCAGCAGAATTCCCCGGCCGGCAGGGACAGAGACCGATCACGGGCAGGAAGGCAGGGCAGTCTGAGGGCCTGCAGGCTGGAAAAAGGCTGACGGAGCCACAAATATGTGGGGCCCTTTGGGCGAGGGGAGGACAGCTCTGACCACATGCATGCTGAGGCTGGGGCCTGGGTCCTGGGGCCCCTGGGGGTGACTAAGGCATTTGTCCCCAAGTGGGGTTTCCTGCTGGGTCTCAGACTTTGAGTAGTGGTGACCTTTATTCCTCCCAACTCCTCCCCGTTTGGACCGTATGTCTGCCCTGTTGTGTTTGGGGAGCAGATCACTGGCCTCCTAGAGAGGACAGGTCCCCAGCTGGGGAGGACTTTTACCCCAGAAGGGTCCCACCCAGAGTCTCACTCACACCGGGGTCAGATGACTGGGACGGTGGGATTCCGGACTCTGAGCCGCCGAGTTCTCGCTGACATTTGGACGTAGGGCTGATGCTGTCCTGGGTTAAGACTTTGGGGGATTGGGATGTAAGGGGGCACAGACTAGTGAGTTGAATGGTGGCCCAGAAGATATGTCCATGCACTGGAACCGTGAATGGGACCTAACCTGGGGAAAGGGAAGGTTTGCAGGTGGAGTTCAGGACCCTGAGACGAGGTCCTCCTGGATTAGGGTGGCCCTAGGTCCAGTGGCCCCTGTCCTGAAAAGACAGACACAAGAGAGAAGCCATGTGACAAGGAGGCAGAGACCAAAGCGAGGAGCGGGCTCACCACTCGGGAGCGCCTGGGCCCCAGGGGCTGGGAGAGGCAGAGGGACCAAACCCTCCAGCCCTGGGGGCAGGGAGGGTGTTGCTGCCGACCAACACCCGATTTCTGACTTCCGGCCTCCGGACTGAGAGGGGAATTGCCTTGCTTGAAGCCACCGGATGTGTGGTCCCAGAAGATGTGCAGGCACGCCCTGGGCTGGGCTGAGGGCGGCTGCAGGATGGGGCAGTGCAGGGCTGGGGTTCCCATGGAGGACTTTGCATACTGTGTCCCTGGACGTCATGGGAAGGGGAGCCCAGGAGGTTGGGGCCAGTCCTCAGGGGCCCCAGCCCCAAGCAGGAAGTCTGGGCGCGCCCTCCTGCCTCCTCGGTCACACGGGGCTCTGCCAGCAGCATCAGTACACCACGTGCTCTGCGAAGGTTTCCAACATGCCCTGAAGAGCCTGGTGTCGTCCCAGGGATCCGCCGAGCACGGTCCCAGCCGCCACCCTCCTGCTGCTGTCCGTGATGAATGTCCGGCACCATCAGGCCACGGGCAGGGTGGGCAGAGCATGGGCCCAGGGCCGTGGCCTTCCGACCGGAAGGAGGACCAGAGCAGCTGCCTGTCCTGAATGGGGACCATGGAAGCTGGATGTCACTCGTGTTTCCATCTCCACTCGCTTCCTCCGAAACCTAACGCTGGCGGTTCTCATTAAAACCCGGGGCTGTCACCACTTCCAGAACTCCTTCTCTCCTGCAGGACTGCCTCCTCGGGCCCTCCGGGGGCTCTCGGGGTGGGTGGGCCTCAGGTGGGGGCCGGGTGGGGCTGTGGACCGTGGTGGGTGCCACGGGAGGTCCACTGGGCCCTCTGTGCGGTGGGGTCTGCGCGGCGGGCCAACTTCTCACCGTCTTGTCGCTTCTGTTTAAAGGAAGGAGCCTCAGCCGGAGCCATCTCCCAGGTCAGTGCCTGCTTGTCCCCTGCTGCCCCGGGCTCGCTGCTGTGCCCGGTGCCGGTCCCTCCGTGTCTGTTCACTGCGTGTCGGCAGGGGCCCTGTGCGTGCCCACGTGTGGAACTGTGTGTCTGGACACTGCCGGCCGCCCTGGGCCCTTTAATCACTTCGCCTGTGCTCAGCACCCTTGTCCTGCGGCTCCAGGGTGGACAGGACAGCGAGGGACCGCTCCCCCCGCCCCGCCCACCCCGGGGCCCTAAGGCAGGAGGGTGTCAGCGAACAACCCCACTCTGGCCCTGTGTCCCACCTCTCCGGTGGAGACAGACGCCCCTGTTCTGTGAATGCTGCTTGTCTAGCCTCTGCAGGTGGGTTAGCTGTCGAGCTGATTAGGGACCGGGCTGCGCAGGGACGGCCCGGGGCTATCTCCGCGGGTGGAGAAGGGTGGACAGCTATCTGCCATTGCCCCGTGTTCAAGGGAAACTCCCGGCTAGTTCATGACTTTCAAGCCCGATGGAGCCCAGCCTGCGTGTGTGTCACTGTGCTGAGTCCTCTGAGCCTGGGGTCCCCCCGGCACCCTGTCCCCAGGCCGCAGCCTGAGTCTAATACCCCGACCCCGGGCCAGAGTCCCGCTGCCTTCCATCAGTGCCCTTCTGGACCATCAGTGACTCAGCTGTCCCCTCAGTTTGTGGAGCTGGAGTTAGGCTGAGCCCTGCCCTCCCCCATCCCCCGAGTGCCCCCGGGGGGACTGACAGCGTGTGTCTGGAATCGCAAGGAGTGGCCCCAAACCGGCCAGAGGAACAACGGGGACCAGCCCCTCACAGCGGCTCAGAAAGCTGCCAGGGGCCAGGCTGCTCTACCCAGCATGGAGAGTGCCGTGCTCGCCGTCAGGGTGGAGGGGGAAACGCATGCCGAGCTCGGCCTGGCGTGTGGGGGACCATGGGGCTGCCCCTTCCCCCTTCCTTGGGCCCCCGGTGCTTCCGCGCCACACCCTGAGCCCGGGGGAGGCGGGCCCGTGGCTCTGCCCCGTCCACCCGAGGCCCCCCGGCCTGATGCGGCTTCTCGTGGCCCTCCCCACGACCCTCGTCTCAGCCTCTCTCTCTCTCTCTCTCTCCTGCCCTCCCCCCAATTTGGACACTCTTGCCTGCCCCCCCAAGTGCCTTTAATCTTGTCACTGCCCTTCTTGGGCCCCTTTCACGTCCGTCTGTCTTTGGGGAGGAGGTGGCTGACCCTGAAAGCAGGACTCAAGGTGAGGACACGCGGGAGCCCCCCCGGGCTCTCCGGCACTTTCCGTGGCTCCCCCCTCCCTGCTTTCCGCACACGCTCCTCTGTCTCCTCCCCGTGTGTCCGTGTGTCCCTGCCTGCCCGTGACCCAGCGGCTTCCCCAAGGGCCAGCCTGGCCCGGCCCTTCTCCTGGCGGACGCTGGGCTAAGACCCTGTGAGGCACACTTGTCAGCTGGGTGGGAGAGGGTGGCGTTTCTGTCCCCTCCCCTGGGGCAGCCGCAGACGCCCTTGCCAGCAGCCAGTGCGTAGCAGGGAGGCAGGAAATTGTTCTGCCACCGGGGCCGTGAGAGGCTGGGCCTGTCCCAGGGCTGCGGGGCAGGGAGACCCTGCTCTGGGAAGTGCTTATGGGGGTGTGGTCCCTGCCTCCAGTGTGTGGTGCTGGGCCCGCCTGCATGCCAGGATTCCACTGGTGCTGACCGGTCTGGGCAGGTGGATGGGGCGGGCACGGAGACCTTTGCCCAGCTGCCGCGAGGCGCTATCCCAGTCCGGGGTCGTGACGGGTATGCGCCCCGGCCGTGCGGGGTCCTCGGCTCGGCAGGACCCGCTGTGGCTGTGCTGGTGTCAGGCCGAGGCCGCCTGGATCAGGTCAAGGTGGGGGGTGGGGGGCAGGCTGCAGGGTCTTGGGCTGCGCTGCTCTGGGCGTGTCTGTGACCTGCCCTCTGCCCTCTGCCCCACCCTGTTTCTCACTGCCCCCCTTCCCCCCACCCCCGTGCCTGGAGGAGACCCTGTCCTCCAGCTGCTTTGCCCCCTTGTCCGTGTGGGTCCCCTCGTCGGCGGCAGCCGCGTGCCGTGTCTGAGTGCCCGTCTGTTCAGTCTGGTCTTGGTGAGTGTCTGTGGGCGCCTCTTCCTCCCACGTGGTCCCCAGGCCCCAGGCCTTGCCCACCCGCCACTCCCGGGACTCTGCTGTCGGCTTCTGTGGGCAGGAAAATCCCAGTGCCAGGCTGGGGCCGTGCTCAGGGAGGCCGTGGGCTCCGGCAGCCCAGGAGCCACTGGCCACATGGGGCTGTTTCAGTTTTCACTAAGTACCGTGAGCCAGGCCCCAGGATGTCGGGCCTCGGGACGCCCTGGGTCATGCATCTAGGCCCCGTGTCTGTGCAGGGAGTTTTGAAGGCAGCAAAGCTGGCTGGGGGGTTGGTCAAAGCTGGGGCCCTTCTAAGGTGTTGGAGGCAGAGACCATCCCCCTGTTGTCCTCTTCCCCTGGACAGAACCTCCAGGTGCTGGGGGGTGGGGGTTGTGTTCTGGCCTGTGGAGCCCTGGGAGGGGAGAGCACGAGGGTCCCGTCTTCGGCTGTGGTGGGACTGTGGCTGACGTGAGGTGTGCCTTGGGAGAGAGCATTTGCCCCAAATTTGAGGGGTTTCTGTGAGCAGCCAGAGCTGCTGGGCAGTGGAGAGCATGGGCCTGGGGTATCGAGTCACATGGACGCTTGTCCCCAGGTGAGCCCATTTGCTGACAAGGCTGGACCCTAGGTCCCTCACCGGGAGGACCCCACAGAGTGGCAGTCCCCCTGGAGGGGAGGGTGGCTTGTGGGGGAACCGTGGCCCTCACAGCCCCTGGGCCACACACAGTTTTCTGAGGAGCCTGACCTGCTCACCCTTTGGGATTAGCAGAGTGTGTCCTTTCCCTGAGGTCCTATTGGACACAGGCAGGCGCCACCAGCATTTACTTGTGTGGATGCTGGGCACGGAGGCCCGGGGCTGGTTTCTGAGAGTGGTGGTCGGTGCGTCTGGTTCCTTGGCCCCACAGTGTGAGGGCGGCCGTCTGAGCAGCAGCTGTGGGTGGGGGGGGTACGGAGGGACAGACAGGTGGAAGGATGGGGGGAGGGAGACCCCAGGAAAGCAGAAGGTCCTGGTGTGTGGTTTCCAGTTTTGCTTAGAAATGTGCCTGAGCTCGTGCAGAGACGGCTCTAGGGCCTTCTGGGCCGGCTTCTGGGGAGCAGGGAGTGTGGATCCGGGTGGGGCTTTGCCCAAAGAGCGGCCAGTAGGTCCGGCCTGGCCCAGGGCTTCGGCACCGAGCCCCAGGGGACCGATGTCGGCAGTCCACTTAGATCCAGGGTCCCCAAGGCTGCTTTCCTGAGCTTTCCTCCAGGGTAAACTGAGGCCACTAACGGCTGGCAGGGCCTGGCGAAGCCTTGGTGACTGGTTTGTGACACCAGACTGCACGTTCTTCCTCTCTAAAATGTGTGCTTTCCGGAATCCTGTCCATCCAGAACCAGCCTTTTGCAAAGTCTTGCCCATGTATTATTTTTTTGTTGGCATGAATATAGCAAAAAATAATACATCTTTAAAAAGACATGGCCCAAAACTCTAACTCTGGAAGGAAAAGGTATTTTTGGAGGAAAAAAATGGTTGTTTTTTTTTTTTTCTCCAAAAATAGGGCACTGTTTTCTTTTCCAGGCCGGCGGGAGACTTTCTGTGCGGCCCCCTCACGGCCGCTGCTTGGACGCGGGCGCGGTGGGCGGACCCCAAGCCCAGAGCCGCGGCCGCAGGGTGGGCCTGTGCGTCCTGTCCGCCCGTGCGCCAGGACTAACTGTGCTCTCCTCGTTTGCAGTAAAGGCAGACCGTGCAGAGAGTCCCTGTGTGGATGCTGCCCCGGACACTCTAGGTACCGCGGGGCGAGCCGCGCGCACTGACCGCCTGCTGCACGGCTCCCCACCCCCCTCCCGCGCCAGACACTCTGCTTACTAGAGGTTCTAGATGAGCGAGGGCGAGGCCGGCGCCCCCCTGCCCCGGCCCCCCCCGGCCACGATTCTGATTGGCAGCGCGGCCTCCGCGGCCCCTGGCCGCCGCGGAGCGCCAGGCCCCCTCCCCCGCCCCCATGATTCCAAACAGCCTCCCGGGACGGTGGCGGCCGCACCAACATACTTCTCTCCCCGAGCCAAACGATGCCCTGCTCCGAGCAGGCCGGGGGGCCGGCAGGGGCTTGGAAGCCCAGATCGGGCGCCAGTGGCCTCTGGGGCCCTCATTGCTCTCCGGTGAGCCCCTTCCCTGGGGATCGCCAATCTAGCACCTCTACTACGCACCCAAGGACGGCCACTCCGAACTGGCCGCCCCACCTGCGGGAGGCAGCTCCGTCCCGTGTGTGCCGGGCTCCCCGGACACGCCACAGAGCCGGAGACCCTCGGCTCCCCCTTCCCCCCACAGGCCTGGTTTAGGGTGGACTGGACACGGGACGGTGGAAAATCCGCCCCCACCCCAGCCCTCTGCACCGTGGGCCCCTTGTCCGCACCTCCACTCTCTGTCCACTGTCTGCTGTCGGGTGTGTGGAAGCGTCTGTCCTCTTGCTTGCTCTGGGTCCCCCCAGCCCGTCTCCCTCCTGCCTGCCTCCCTCCCTGAGCAGTGCAGTGTGTGGGCAGCTGTGCCCTCCCCCCCCCCCCCCCCCCCCCCGTGCATGTCCCGGAAGCAGTGGTGGAGCGGCGGGTGGGGGTGGGGCTGTCAGCAGGCCCGGGGGCCCAGGCGGCGGCATGCTTGTCCACCCGCATCTGCATGCTCCTGAGTCTCCCCCGGACAGGGGCTCGGAGGCCTGCCTTCCCCCGCCTGTCCACCTTGCTTGTGTGCTCCCGGAGGTAGGCGCTTGGGGAAGACTTGCAGCCCCGGGAGTGGAGATCTGGGGCCCCGGCCGAAGCTGTCCTGCTTGTACGGAGCTTGTGGGGCCCCCGGCTGGTCCCTCGGGTCGGGGGCTGTGGTCACGCTGCTTGGGGACCAGAAGGGCCGGCAGGGCCCACAGCCAGTCCAGGAGCCCAGGCCAAGCTGCCTTGCTGTGTGCCCGTCCCACGAATGTCACTGCATCCGTCGCACTTTCCCTGGGCATCCGTGGTCCAGTGGTCCGGTGAGGGCAGGGCCGTTCCTGTGGATGCTGGCTCTCCCTTCCCTGCTGAGCCAGGCCCTGGCTGTGCAGACCCAGGTGTGGCAGATGGCAGGCGGGGCCTCCCCTTGCCCCATCCCTGCTCAACTGGCCCCGGGCCTTAGAATCTCGCTACGGGGTGGCAGGCAGGGGAGGAAAGGCTGGGGCTTGGCTTTCCCCCAAGACCCTCCCGAACTTTCTCCTTGGTCCTGTGTGAACGCCAAAGGGCAGATGCCAGGAAAGTGCCCTTTCACACACATGGTGGTCTCGCTGAGTGCTCTTTCCCCCGAGCAGGCGGCCAGAACCCCATCCTTCGTGTTCGTTTGCTTCTGTCCTTGGCCTGTGAGGTTAGGGCAGCCCTCCCTTGAGGCCTGCGGGAGCAGGCGCTGTGTGCACCCCTGGGAGTGGGGCAGGTCTAGTGGGCAGGGCGCCTGCCGGCTGAGCTGGGCAAGGCCATCTGCACGGTGGCCTCCTCCGGCCAAGTGCCCCTCCCCAGCCCCGGCATTCCAGGGGCGGCGACAGCAAGGCCTTCCTGTGGCTCCGTCCTCGGGGCAGCTGGGTGGGTCCGGCTGCTGGGGGCTAGGTGAGGCCATTGCTTCTTAGGGTCTCCCCGGACCAAATGTTGGTCTCCATTGGGAGGGAGAAGGTCATCTGTGCCGAGGGCCCTGGGGCACCTGGATTTGGGCTCCCCTCGGCTCCTGTCTGCCCATTCTTGGCCTCGTGCTGGGCACACCTGTTCCAGGCTTGGGGCCAGTGACCCGGGCAAGCAGAAGCCTGCCCCAGTCCTTAGTGCGACGCACACCCGAGGCGACTGCCAGCCCTTAGGGGCTCCTTTCTTCCTTTTCTCATTATCCCACGAGGCCTTCGGTCTAGCCGACGGATGATCTCAGCTGCCCGGGGGGGACTGGCTGGGACTGCAGCGTCCAGACTAGACAGACCAGGCCGCTGGCCACTTCTCCATGGCCCAGTCACGTCTGCGCCGTCCGAGGGACCTGTCTTGGCTGTGGGTCCTGGTTGGGGCTGCTGGAGGCGGCTGACCCGGGGGAGCCACAGCGGGGTCTGGCGAGGTCTGAGGGGTCAGCACGTGATGGCAGCTTCCCAGTAAGAGGAGAGACCCCGGGCAGCTTGTCACATACCCCGGGGCAGCGCAGGGTCTGCCTCAGAGACTGTTTCAGGAGTTCTGCGGCTCCTGCCGGTGGCTGGGTGAGAGCAGGTCCGCAGGTCACAAGAGCCTTGCTTGTGGACAGTGGAAACTGGCCGGTGGCTGCCGGGTCCCTGGGCCTGACCAGCACCTGGACCATCGTGACCCCCTCCTGCCTCCTGGCTGTGGCCCAGACTTCACAGTTTCCAAAAGATACAGGCCCAGGGGTGGGAGCCTGGGGACCCCTGCAGGGCTGTGGCCGGCCAGCGTTGCTCCCTGCCCGCACTGTGGCCTCAGAGCAGAGGTCTGTCCCTGCAAGGCAGCTGACAGAGGGAGCCTGTCTACTCTGTCTCTCTGGCGGTGTGGGACTGCGGTCCCCAGACCCCTCCTGTGTGTGGGCGTGGGGCCTGTGTTGGCCCTGGGGGCAAGAGGGCTGGACAGGTCTGCCCTGCAGTCAGCAGGGGACAGGTGCCCTCTCCGTGATTCCCAGGCTCCCGCTCCTGGCCCAGACCCTTCCTCCAGGTGATTCCTGGGGCTTGGCCTCCGGACCCTGGGGCAGGCGGCAGGGGGGAGAGGCTGCCGCGGGGCAGGGATGGGGCGCGGAGGGGCGGGCCATCCAGGGGCGAACCACTGGTGGGACCCACAGAAGGTGTGCAGGGAAAAGCCGTACCTGCATGGCGTTTGAGGCCCTCAGATCACCTTGGAGAGGGAGACCTGACAGGACTGTGTGGAGAGGACCCTGGCACCTTCCCGTAACACTGAAAGTGATTTAAGTGTCCGCTGACCCCTCCCCAGCCAGGCCGAGTCCCTGAGTGGCCCTCGGAGTGCCCACCCCCTGCGCTCCTTGTCTCCCTGCCACCACCCCCCTCCACGTGTAGGCGTCAGCGGTGAACGGACAGTGGGGTGTGCGCGTTCCTTCCGGAGTGACTTCTCTTGCTGTCTTTCTGTGTGTGTCCGCCCGCCTGTCGGCCTCGTGGGAGCAGTCAGAAGGTCAGTTTGAAAGACCGTGTCTTCTCCAGCCCCCGAGGTGTGGCTGCCAAGGGCAAGGGGTCCCCTCAGGCCCAGACCGTCCGGCGGTCTCCCAGCGCCGACCAGAGTCTGGAGGACAGCCCAAGCAAGGTGCCAAAGAGCTGGAGCTTTGGGGACCGCAGCCGGGCGAGACAGGCCTTCCGGATTAAGGGCGCTGCGTCCCGACAGAACTCGGAAGGTGGGTCAGGCTGCGGGCTTCCCGCGGTCCAGCGGCCCCCCGCCGGGCACCTCTGGGGCCCTGTAGCCTCTTTGAGCAGCAGCTTCCCTGTTCCCTTTCTTCTTTTCGAGGTGAAGTCACGTAACACGAGACCAGCCGCTTTCAAGCAAACAGCTCAGCAGCCGTGAGCACATGCACGGCGCAGCCCAGATCACCTCTCTCGTTCTAGGGGTTTCCACGCTCCAAAGGAGACCCGTGCCCGCTAGCAGTCCCTCCCAGCCCCTGGCCACCGCCAGTCTGTTCTGGACATTTCCCACATGTGGAATCACATGCTGTGTGCACCTGTTTCCAGGTGTTTCCACGCCGGGCCACCATCAGGCTTCACGCCGGTTTCTGGCTGGCTGATGCTCCGTTGTTTCCTGCGGCCGTAGCCATGGGTCTGCCCGTCCGTCCACTTTTCAGCCATCACGTGGGCCTCTCTTGGGGCCTCGGTGGGACAGAGGGTGGGTTTCCAGAGCGCAGGGTGCTGCTCTCGGGGCTTCCCTCACACCGTCCCCGACGTCGGTCCCCCGGCGCAGCTCAGCCCCTCATGGGCCGTGTCTCCTTTCACCCAGAAGCAAGCCTCCCCGGGGAAGACATTGCAGAAGACATTAAGAGCTGCAACTGCGAGTTTGTGACGGAAGATCTGACCCCGGGCCTCAAAGTCAGCATCCGGGCCGTGTGGTGAGGCACCCAGCGTCCAGGGCAAGGGGCCTCCCTGTGGAGTCCAGGAGGGGTGCGGTCTCTGTCCTTGGGCTCTGGGTCCTTTGGGAGCTGGTGTTGGCTCCCGCGCACCCGCCCCTGTCAGAGCTGTCCCCTGCCCACCCCGGGGGCGAGGGTCTGTCTGCACCCCAGGCCTGGGTGTGGCCTGTGGATGTGGCAGGTGCGTGGGGCCGGATCACCGTGGCAATGCGACCGGTGGATGTTCTGGGAGATGCTGGGAGGGCCCAGGGCAGGGGTTGGCCCAGGGCTCACGGCCGTGCTCCCCCAGTGTGATGCGGTTCCTGGTGTCCAAGCGCAAGTTCAAAGAGAGCCTGCGGCCATACGACGTGATGGACGTGATTGAGCAGTACTCGGCCGGCCACCTGGACATGCTGTCCCGCATCAAAAACCTGCAGTCCAGGCAAGACAGCACCCCGCCTGCCCGGCCCTGGGGGTCCGTCTGGGCCAAAGCCAGCGTGGCCCCAGTGGGGTGGCGTCTCTCAGGGGCCAGTATGGGGGTGAGGTGTAGTGTGGGGGTACAGAGGGGGGACACGGTGGTCAGCCTTGCCTGCTGCCACCTCCAGCCCCGCACCGGCCCTGTGCGGGTGTCCTGCTGTGTCCTCGTGTGGTCTGTTTGACTATTTCTGTCGTCTCTCCCTCCTCACCCTCCTGCCCCTGCTGTGGGGGGTGAGCGTGTATGTGTGTGTGCGCTCACACGCCCGCCCGTGCGCACAGGTGTGTGACCGCACACACGTGAGCGCACGTCTCCAGGCATCTGTGGTCACCCGCACGGGTGCATGTGTGCACACGTGTGTGCATGTGTGTGCCGGGCGCACGTGCGTGCGTACACATGTCCTGCATGTGTGTGTGTGCATGTGCCTCTGTGTGTGTCATGTCATGTGTGCATGTGTGTGTGGTGTGCACACGTGTGTGCGTGTGTGTTGGGGATGAGGCTGCAGGTTAACGAGCCCTGTTGGGAAGCAAGGACGATCATGGGAGCAGAAAGACTTGTCCACGCCCTGGCCTCACGGGGCTCTCCCTCCCCTGGCAGGAAGCAGGGCTGGGGCATGGCAACGGCGGGGCGCTCGGTGCTCTGCTCACAGGCAGCTGTGCGCGCGTGAGACCGCTGGCTCACTCTGGGCTTCCCTGCACACTGGCCACAGGCGTGGACACACATGCATAGGACGCATGTCCACTCCTGTGTGCAAGCGCACGCCAGCACACAGATAGCATATGCATATGCACGTGGACACACATGGACACACGCAGGGTGCATGCATGTGTGCACAGGGCACAGACGCACGTGGGTGCAGCCCCATGGGCACACACGTATGGATACCCTTGCACGTGGACCGACATACATGTATATGCACGGATACACAGACACACGTGCACACACAGTCACTCTCAGCCTTGTGCCCACATACATGCCCTCGATACCTCCATGACACACGAGTGCACAGGTGTGCACTCCCCTCCACATTTAAGCAAGCCTGTGTGAGCACATGTGTTTGCGGGGTCTGGGAGGAGCCCACGGGACTGTTGTTGGGGTCCCTCCTGAAGTGGGTCCCACGGTTCTGCCAACGTTCCCTCCCCTGCCCAGGTCCCTTAAACTGGGCTGCTGTAGGTCGTCTGCCCCAGGATCCTGGGCCCTGGCTGGGAGAAGGTCTGGCCAGTCAAGGGACAGTCTTAGGTCCGCCCAGCTCCCCAGCCCCCGGCAGGATGGAAGTCCTCCTTCTGGGGAGGTCAGTGAGCGCCTGCCGTGGGGGGCGTCTCCAGTCCTGCAGCGGGATGCCCCGCAGGGGTCCCTCCGGACCCGCAGCTGCTCCTGTGGGGCGGGGAGCGAGGGGTGGTGACCCCTTCTTCCACACGGGCTAAGGCCAGGAAGCCCATCACTTACCATCCACCCCCCCGAGCACCAGCTGGACCTGTGCTATGTGTGTGGACAGACGTGTGCGGTTGCGTGTGCGTGATGTGTGGGAATGTGTGTGAGCAAGTATGCGTGCGAGTGCGCGGACGGTGCGGACCTGTGTGTGCTCACGCGTGAGTGTGCACACGCAGATGTGTGAGAGCAGGGCAGCGTCTCGGCCTCTGGGCTGTTCCCACATCTCAGGGAGGCTGATTTGGTCCACCAGGCTCTTCTGTCCTCAACGTCCCTTCCCCTCCCTTTCTCTCTGGAAAACAACACAAACGGGCCCAGGGAGCCGGGATGTCCTGCCCGTTGCCGGCAGAGCTGCACGGCTGTCCACGGCCGGTGTCCTCGGGCCCGTGCGCTGGTGGCAGTGGCTCCTGTGCACGCCCCGGGCGGGCTGGGCTCAGCCGTGGGGCTGCGGCTCCCCAGTCCTACGCGCAGCTGGGCACGGGAGAGATCAGGCGCCGCCCCGGCCAGGCGAGCGTGGTGGTCCCTGCGCCGCGTGTGGGGCGTCCCCCCGCCGACTCCCCTTCCGTGCGCCTCACGATGCGTTTGCTGGTGTCTCTTTTCTTGTTCGCTCGCCAGGATAGATATGATTGTGGGCCCCCCACCCCCTTCAACTCCCCGGCACAAGAAGTACCCCACCAAAGGACCCACGGCCCCTCCGAGAGAGTCACCCCAGTACTCACCTAGGTCAGGACGCCAACCCTTCCCTGCCTTGTCTCTGTGGAATGGCCAGCCCCCTTCGCCCCAGGCCACATGACGGCAGTGCCTGTCCTGCACCTCCCCGCGAAGCAGCACGAGGGGAAGGTGGCGCCCCCGGGGCCCTGGAGGGGGGCAGGGCAGGGTGCCCTGGAGCTGTTCCTCTTGGTAGGCTCTGGAGAAGCTTGTCACGGGAGCTCCTTTCCATGGACATCCCGCGTGGCGTCTGCCTGGGGGATGCTTCCAGGCCAGAAGCAAAGGGGTGCCCCTGCGAGGATCCGATGTGTTCAGAGCTGCAGGGCTCCGTGGCTGGTGGTGTCCTTCCCAGCCCCTCTGGGGCTCTCCCCCGATGCCCTCCCCTCAGTGGGGCTGACCTGGGCTGCTCCACAGATCTGAGTAGGTCCTATTGCTTCTCTTGCCTTGAAACTCCGTGAAGAATAAATGGGAACGTCCCTGCCAGGTGCCCAGCACCGGGTGAGGCTCCCAGGGAAAGCCCGAGACCTTGGAGCTTTATTTCCGACCATCAGAATTAGCATCATCGAAAGCTGGCCCTGGCCCACGGGCGGAGAGGAAGGCAAGGGCACGGTTAGGTGGTGAGTTAGCAGAAGTCGTTTCTGTAGTGAGGAGTTCAGGCTCCAGGGCCTTCTGCCTCCCTGGGATGGTTCAGATGACGGCTGTGACCTATGCCCCCGGAGCAGCTCTGGTCACCTGGGGGAGAGCAGAGCCCCTGGGGCAGGGAGGAGGGCAGAGGGGCCCAAGAGCATCCCGGAAACCAGCAGGGATGCTGGCCAAGCTGGCTGGTGGAGGGACTGTGTGTTTGCCCCGCGCTCCCCGTGTGCCAGGACTTCTACCCGTGAGTCTGAGGGTCGGCATGCCGGCCGGTCTTCTCCACCTGGCGGCTCTCCCATGAGAAAGGAGTCCCTGGGGGAGGGGGAGCAGGCCTGACCCAGGGCAGCTGCAGACAGTGTTCTGCAGCCTTGATGCCCAGGACCACCCTCGTGTGCTGCTCTGGGGGCAGTGGCTGAATCCTTAGGCCAGGAGCTAGAAAGGTCCTGCGGCTCTCGGGGCCCCCCAGGCCTCTGGACCACTGCGGCCAGAGGACACACAGGGTCACCCAGAGAAGGCGCCAGAAGGATGGCATGGGCACACGGGGGTTAAACCTCACTCCTCTGCCTGAGGCCGGGGGAGGGATGGCCCGGGCCCCTTGGAGGTCCCTCTCCAGCCCCCCACCCGTGGCAGCTCCAGGCTCCCCGCAGGACCGGCCAGGCAGGCGGCCCGTCATGTGGCAGGGGTGAAGGCGCTGAGCACCGGTGCCTGTGTGGACGCCCAGAAACCCCAGAGAACGCTTCTCCCTCCTGCTCCCCACCGGCGTCTGCTTGGAGCCCGAGGGCCCCCGCTGTCCCCGTCGTCGCTCCTTGTCCTTGGTGCATGAGGCGAGCATGCGCGGCTCTCCAGGGCATGACGCTGCACCATGGCTGACGTGGCTCCCCACCCCCTTCCGCTTCGTGCAACGGCAGGAAAAGCCCCCCCCCAAGCCCCACTCCCCCCCAGAGGCAGACAGGGCAGCCTGTTGGTGTGGAAGGTCGCCGAGACGAGGCCCCCTGCCCGGGTGTGGGAGCCGTGCCCTCCCGCACCCCAAAGCTCGAGGAACGTGTCTGGGGCTCCCAGCCAGGGATGAGGCGGGGCTACCTGGCCTTAGCCCGGGGGAGAGCTGTGCGCCCGGCAGGCCTGGGGGTTCAGCATTGCGGCTCGCAGACAGCCAGGGTCTCTGTTTCCAAGCTCCCACGTGCCTGTGGTCTCGGCGCGAGTGTTAGAGCCCACGCCGCAGCGGTGGCCCCTTCTGAGCCCTCCGGTGGCCCTTTCTGCTCCACAGGGACTGTGCTGGGTCCCCTTTCCCTCTAGAAAACCTGTGTGTCTTGTCGCCATTCGTGCCCCGTGGCCTCCTTGGAGCCAAGCGCAGCTGCGTTCTGCACATGCATTCGCACGGGCTCGCGCGTGCACACACACGCTCACACGCACATGTCGCCCCCATGCAAGCACTCACGGACTCCCCGTTTGGCAGTGGCTCTGTCTGCCCCTCCGTTGTGCGTTGGCGGTTTCCTGTCAGTCTGTGCCCCAACCCCCGTCCCGTGTGCATGGAGCCATGGCTCTTGTCATTTCTGCTTATGTTCTTGCCGCACACGTGGAACTCTGCCCGCCCCAGACCCCCGTTGGGCTGAGGACCCCGTGGCACATTGTGGAGGAGTAAAGCTCAGGGGTGGGGAGGGCACGGGAGAGGGGACCTGGGGGGCTCGAGGCGCCAATCCCCACCACTTTACTCCTTGCTAATGTGCCAGCCCACTGGATCGGCAGGGGAGCCCCTCAGGTTCAGCGAGCGGGGCGAGACCAGGTGCCCCGCGTCCACCTGTCCTGGCACCCTGGTGCCCCCCCAGTCGGCTCTGGGCTCAGCCCGGAGCCTGGATCTGGGGGGCTGTGGCCTGGCCCAGGAGGAGAGGGCCACGGGCCCCGCCACACCCACCCGAGCTCATGCTGGGGGCTGGGGTCTCTTCCCGGCAGAGTGGACCAGATCGTGGGGCGGGGCCCGGCGATCACCGACAAGGACCGCACCAAGGGCCCGGCCGAGGCGGAGCTGCCCGAGGACCCCAGCATGATGGGACGGCTGGGAAAAGTGGAGAAGCAGGTAGGAGGCGCAGAGACGGGCCCTGCGGGCAGGGCCTTGGGCTCCAGGGGTGGGTCAAAGCTCTCTCTGGGGAGTGGGTTCTTGGGGCCCGTGTGTAAGAAGCACTTGGGGCGTGCTTCTGGGAACAAAGGAAAGGAACTGTGGGGTTTGCTCAAAGGGACCACACACTGAAGGGAGGGTTCAGAGGCTAAGCTGCTGTGTCTGCTTCCTGCTGCTTCTGGACCTCTGGGGGTGGGGGCAGCCCAGGGCTTTCTCACCTCCCAGGAGCAGCCCGGGGTCCCCCTACCTCCTGGAGCAGCCTGGGCCCCCCACTTCCAGGGAAAGCCCAGCACCCCGCCCCCACTTCCCGGGAGCGGCCCGGGCCCCCCCCGACCCTGCCCGGAGAGCGCCAGGCCTGGTCCAGCAGCTCCCCTTGTAGGTCCTGTCCATGGAGAAGAAGCTGGATTTCCTGGTGAACATCTACATGCAGCGTATGGGCATCCCCCCGACGGAGACGGAGGCCTACTTTGGGGCCAAGGAGCCAGAGCCGGCGCCACCGTACCACAGCCCCGAGGACAGCCGGGAGCACGGGGACAGGGGCGCCTGCGTCATCAAGCTTATCCGCTCAGCCAGTTCCACGGGCCAGAAGAACTTCTCGGCGCCCCCGGCCCAGTGCCCGCCCTCCACCTCGTGGCAGCAGCAGTGCCCCCCGCGCCAGGGCCACGGCACCTCCCCCGTGGGTGATCCTGGCTCGCTGGTGCGGATCCCGCCCCCACCCGCCCACGAGCGTTCGCTCTCGGCCTACAGCGGGGGTCCCCGGGCCAGCACGGAGTTCCTGAGGCACGAGGGGGCCCTGCGGGACAGCGACACGTCCATCTCCATCCCGTCGGTGGACCACGAGGAGCTGGAGCGCTCGTTCAGCGGTTTCAGCATCTCCCAGTCCAAGGAGAACCTGGACGTCCTCAACACCTGCGGCGCGGCCGCCGCGCCCTGCGCCAAAGTCAGGCCCTACATCGCGGAGGGCGAGTCGGACACGGACTCGGACCTCTGCACCCCGTGCGGTCCCCCGCCACGCTCCGCCACCGGGGAGGGCCCTTTCGGCGACGTGGGCTGGGCCGGGCCCCGGAAATGAGGCCGCCCGCCGGCCTCTCCCTGACTCTCGGCCTTCCAGGTGTGCGGACGGGACTCTCCCGGGCCCTTTCCTCAGAGCAACACGGGTGGGACCTGTGGGGGTGAAGGCAGGCGGGGGGGCACCAGGTCTCACGTGGCGAAGGCTGACAAGAGTTTCTTTTCTAACGAGGGGCAGCCAGGCCGGCCGTGCCCACTGTGAGCCCGTTGGCGCGGGTGCGAGTGGGGGTGACAGCTGAGGACAGACCCCCGGCAGTGGGGAGGAGGCACAGGGCGCCGGTGAGGGTGGCTGCTGTGGGAGGGTCGGTGGCCTTGAGGCTTAGAGGGGAGGGAGCCACGGCCTGTGCCTGCGGCTGCAGGAGGTACGGCTGGCCCCTTGAGTGTGGCTTATCCTTGTCCCTTGGTCCCTGCCCCCGCTGTCTCCGCACGGCAGGCGTGGTGATGGGCGGTCTTCCGGAGAGCTGCTGGTCAGCACCACCTCCCCCCACCCCCGGGTCCGCACCAGTCCCGAGTCCAGAAGGCTGGCCTGGACAGGAAGGGGTGAGGTGAGGCCCCAGCACCTCCCAGGGTGGGCTCCTGAGGGGCGGGGCTGCTCCCTAGGCCTCTGAAGAGGGTCCTCAGGGGCTCCCACAGCCACAGGAGATCTGGGGATGGGCAGCCCGTCTTCTGTCTGTTCTGCTCAGGCTGGGCGCCAGCCACCAGGCCACGACCAGCTCTGAAAGGAGACCTGTGCGCAGGGAGGGCGCTGGGTGGCTTGGGGCACAGCCGGGCTGGACTCCTGTTTCCAGGCCCCAGGGCCAGGGGTTTGGTGACCAGATTCACATGGTGTCTTTCACTGGGGGTCTTGCCTCCCTGGTCCCTCCCTGGGGCCTTGAGAGGACCGGGGCAGGACAATGATGCTCTAAGGCCTGGGAAAACCCTTCAAAGTCTCTCGAGGGCTGTGGGGTGCCCTCCCTCTGCAGGGTTCAAGCAGCTCTCTCCTGTAGGAAGCCTCTTTTGTCCCCACTGGAGCTGACCATCCACTCACCTGCTCTCCACTGACCTGTCCCTTGTCTGGGACTTCTTGAGAGTCAAGGATGCCCATCTCCACCATGGGCCTCAAGGAGCAGGCACCCCCATCTCTCCTGGGGCAGACCCCTTGGCCCCAGGGACAGCAGCTGTGAGGTTTCCCTTCTGGGCACTCAGCACTCAGTGTGTGCAGGCGTCTGGCAGTTGGGACCACGGGTCTGGTCACCTGGCGCTCTCTGAGGTGGTGACCTCGTGTGCACTAGGGCTGGGCGCAGCCAAGCCTGCTGTGGAACGACTTTCCCCGAAACCAACCTCTCGGGAGAGCCCCACTGCGACTGGGACTGGAAGTGGCCAGTAACAGAGTCGCTCCTGTCCTCTGGGAAGTGCGCAGGAAGCGGTGCCGAGGTTCCCGGGCTCTGGGCCTGGGGTCCTGCGGCTCTCCTTGGGGACTCGTGTCTGTTGAGCAGGCGGGGCCATGGCTGCGGGCGATGCCCCTTCCCCTGATCCTGCTCTGGGCACCTCCTTGCCTGACGGGCAGCCAGAGGTTGGGCCAGCCTGTGTTTGCCCAAGGGTGGCGCCCAGAGCGGGAGGACGAAGGCTCAGAGTTGGGAACTTCTGCTCGTGTTGGGGACCCGGCACGAGGATACCCCCCTCCTCAGCCTTGGGGAGGGGCAGGTGTGGAGGTGAGTGGCCCCACGGCCTGGAGGAGAGGCGTTCTGGAGCTCTGCTGGTTTTCCCTCACGCTGATGAACTGTGTTCCTGAGGGCAGTGTTTCTCTGGCCTTGGGCCTCGCGGTGGTGAGAAGTCCCTGCCAGTTGCAGATACCATGAGCCCCTGAAGTGGCCTGTGTGTCGTGGCCCTGCAAGCTGGCCCTCCCATCGCTGCCTGCCTCTGGGCTCGGCGCCCTTTACCCTCCTGCCACGGGGGACTCGGGCTGCAGGCCCCTGGGCAGGGCAGGAACCACAGGGTGGCACGGCCACATCCGTCCCCAGCTCTGGCCCCGTGCCAGCAACGGGGACCTCTCCGCTGCCGGGTCTTGGTTGTCAGGGGCTCCAGGACCTGGGAGGAGGGGGCTCCAGGGCCTGTCCCCCATACTCCCTGTGCCATGTGCCCTTGGGAGCCAAGGAAGCCAGCCTTGGAGGGGCAGGGGGTCCCCTAGGCTGCAGCGGGAGAGACGGGCCGGTCTGCCGGCAGGTCCCGCATCCAGGGAGGGTGTGAGGCCTCCTGCATGGAGTCTCTGCCCCCTTGGAAGGGAGGCTGGTTTCGGGTACAGGCGGGAGAGATGGTATTGTAAAGGTGTCTCCTTGGGACCCACAGAGCCAGGCCCGAGCAGCGTGCGCACCCTGGGTCCCGCCTCCAGAGGGGTAAGAGCAGGAAGAGGCCAGTGCTGTCACGGGGCGTCTGCGGGGCGCGTGTGACGGGAGTGGGGCTCAGGGCAGCTGTCACCCCTTGGCAGGTGCGGCAGAGTTTCCTGAGGTCTGGGGGAGGCTGGAGTCTGTGCTCACACTCAGCTCACATCTGGGCACACACACACGTGCGCGCACACTCACTGCGCTCCTGACTCCCGTGGCCTTTCGTCTGATCTTTCTGTCTGGGTCTGCCCACTTCAAGCCCCAAGGAATGGACACATGGAGTGACAGGTGCTCCCGTGCCCAGGCTCCTGGGCAGCATGGGCAGAGGGGCCCCCTGGCCCCATCTGGGGTCCCACACGCCTCACATCTGCTGCCCAGCAGCTCTCCAGAGCCTCTGGTTGGCTGGATGCCACCTCACGGTGTGGACTGGGCCGGGAAGCTCTGGGCGTCCAGTTGTGACCCTGGGGCCCTGGCCACCTCCCTCTGCCCTCCTTGGCCATGTGGGTGTTGTCCCCTCTCTCCCTGGCATATTGAGGCCCCGCATCTCCCCCTTGTCCACATGCTCTGAGCCGTGACCTTGCTAGTCCTCCCTGGAGGATGGAGGGGCCCTGGCTATGTGGCAGAGGCTCCCCCTGGCCTGTCCACCTGTCCCCTCCCCGTGGAAGGCCACCGTCATCCCCACCTGCGGGGTCTGCTCTCAAGCCCCTTTTGGACGCTCCGGGAGCCCGCCGTGCTGGGACTGCTGTGTGGAAGCCTACGGGCTTAGGGCAGGTCTGGACCTGCCCCGCGGCCAGCCCTACTCCCTGAGCCCAGAGCACACGAGCCAGCCGGGCACGGTCGACGTCTTTAATGTGGTGATTTGGCTTAACTGACCTTCTCCCCTTGTACTAGGCTGGAGTCCCCCGGTGGTCACCGATTCGACACAGTAACACAGAAGCCAAGGGGGCAGCATCCTCTCCTCCACTGGCCCCACGTTCAGGGGCCCTCCGTAGAGCAGGTGCCCCTTGCCTGTGCCGGGTGTGGATGGAATCGGCCCTGAGACGTTTCTAGATGCTTCTTGAAGCCCAGAGGTGTGGATGGCCCCTGGGAGGCCTTTGTAGAAATGCTGATGTTTGTATCTATTTCGTATTCTCCCCAAATTGTAAATAATGTACACAGCGGTGGGCTCAGGGGTTCGTCCCTGACGTGACGCTGCAAGACCAGAGTGAAGACACAGCGTCCCACCCTCCGATGTCACAAGCCCTTGAAATAAACGTGGTGTGCAGAGGGACAGCCTGACAGCCCATGGAGGGTTTGGGGGCACCCCAGCAGCGTGGCTGGGTCCCGAGCAGCCGGTGGGGCTCCGTGCCCCTGGTGCCCCCCGGTGCTCATGGCTCAGAATCAGATGCTCCCTTCCCTGACCAACGCTGTCCTGAGTCGTCCTCGGCTGCCTTCCGTGACCCCGGAGCGGATCTTCAGGCCACCTGCTTGGATGGACCGAAGCTGGGCGAGGGGCAGGAGGCCTGGGTGGGACCCGGAAGGAATGGGCTGCCTGCTTCCAGCACCAGGGGAGGCTGAGTGTTGTCCCAGGCCAGCTGTCCTCCGCTGGGCCCCTGCCAAGCCCTAAGTAGGAGAGACAGCCAGGGAGGGCTTCCTGAAAGAGGCAGTATGGTGGGATTGGGGGCTTGTGACTCTCTTCTCTCCAAGGAACCCAGGAAAGCCAGCTGCCTAGACTAGGACACTGGTGGCCTCTGGAGCATGCACGGGCGGTGGTCACAGTTCGCTGGACAGGCCATCTTGTGAGGGGAGGGGGCTGACGGCAGACCTCAGAAGGAGACGTTCTGGGGAGAGAGGCTTCAGCAAACAGGGTAGAGAGAGCGAGGAAGACATGCTCCCTGGCAGGTGAGACCCTCCGTCCACCTCTCAAAGGCACCCTTAGCGTTGGAGGAATTGGGGGGGCCTCTTGTCTTGACACCTGGCGGGCAGAGGATGCCAGGGAGAGCCTGGGGATCGCCCAGATCAGGTGCAGGGGGAGGGGGCCCTCAGGGGGGTGGCGCTGTGTCCCGGCCCCCCAGTGCCGTATGCCCAACTCTGGCTGGGTTTTATAATGTCGTTGCCTTAATGCACGTGGACGGAAATTCACCGAGGTCACCCCAGGCCCCCGGAGTCTGCCCGGCACCACACCCTGCCCCCTCGTCCACGGGACCGGCGCTATGGTGGGACGCAGAGCGGGCAACGGACCAGGAACTGGCCCTGTGCCCGCCGGGACCCTCCTCACCCCGTCCCGCGCCCGCCCCTGCCGCTCGCTGCCCCGCGGCCCCCGCCCGTGCTGCTGCCTTGGCCATCTGCACTTTGTTCATGCTCCAAAGAATTCTTCATTTGCCTTCAGTACTGACGTGCCCTTCCGACCACGTGTATGCACCCCTGCACCACAGCCGCTGGGCCTTTCTGTTTCGTGAATGTGTCAGCACCGCACACGCCACCCTCGACTCGCGCATTGTCCGTCTTCTAGGGATAGACGCCCAGGGAATGAACTCTAGTTTTGTACGGACCAGCCGAGACACGGACTTCGCTTCACACGTGTCCCCAAGAATGGGGCCCGGCCTGGGTTTGCCCGGCGGCTTCAGGGGTGGAATCCGGCAGCAGGGACGCATGTGAAAAGCTCCGGGAAGTTCTACTGCCACGGGGACCCGTTCGCAAGCCCAGGGGACCTGTGCACTTAGTAAAACACAGTGATTGAACCTGCACGGTGTGTGGCCTTTTCCGTCTTGCACGCCATCTCCAGGGCCTTGCTGGGGTCTCAGGGTGGGGGTGCTGCCAGGGCAGGGACGAGCGGACACACAGTGTCCAGGGTCAAGGTGCGTGGCTCTGTCCGTGTCCGTCACGGCCTCATGCTGGCGGCTTCAGACCGTGGGGACTCCCGTTCACTCGCCCCGGGCCCGAGTCTGCCGAGGCTCCCGCTGGCTGCCCTTCTCTCTGCCTCTAGGAGCCGCGGGCGTCCGGGGAAGGGAGCCGCTGGCTGGGGCTGGTGAGCCCTCTGGTCCCGGACGCGGACCCGGTTCCTGGGTGCAAGCTTCAAGCACGTGGGTCCAGTGCAGAGTCAGACTGTGCTGCCGGCCCTCAGCTTGGGGCTCCGCTGCCCTCGGCTCTTGCTGTCCTCTCCCTGCCAGCCACTGCCCAGGCCCCGTGGGAAGAGGGGCTGGAGGTTAGGGTGGGCACAGCTGTCCTGTCTCCCGCCCTGCAGTGTCCTGGGTGAGGGCCGGCCGCAGTGAGGTCCGGGTTGCTATGGCTGCCCCCTGCCCTCTGGGATTTTCTAGCTCCCGGGCCCTCCCTGGGGGTCAATGGAGCAGGCAGATTGGTGAACAGGGGCTGAGACGCAGCGCCCTGTCCCAGGTGGGCGCCCAGATTTGCTGACCTCAGTGGGGTTCAAGGCTCGCCGTCCCCTTGGCCCTCTGTCAGAGCCTGGCCACCCATCAGAGGCCTTTGTGCTGCGAGATTTCCAGAAAGTTCTGGGCTGGGGTGCCCAGGTTTTGGGGAGAGCTGGCCCAGGCTCCATGTGCAGCTGACTTCCTCTCTGCAGGCCTAGGGTCAGCTGCCGGGTTCATCTCTGCTCCCCTCAGCACTGATTGTTCTGCTGTGTCCCCTGCCAGGCTCTGCTGTTACCAAGTGGCCGTGGGCACTAGAGCCGTCCTGGGAAACCTGGAACCTGTGCTTCATGAACCTGGGGTGCCTGGGCCAGCACAGTCCACCCTGCCCAGATTTTTGTGTAGCTCTGGGGGTGCTGGTGAGGAACCTAGGCCCCGGAGTGCTCAAGGGGGCCTGGCACTGTCCCTCTGCTCTATGTAGAAGAGGCCATAGAGTGAGGCAGCAGGCCACCTCTGTCCCCCTCCATGGCCCCAGGGGAAGGTCATTGCTTGTGTTCCATGATCTTGGAGCAGCTGCCTTATTTCTCTGTGCTGAGAAATTTGTCTCCGTTTCTCTGGAATTGTTACCTAGGATTAGGGTTAGTCTTGGCTGCGATTAACAGAGAGGCCCTACATAAGCATGGGTTCCCCAGAGTAGACTCACCTTTGTTTCTGACGGCCTCCACGTCCAGAGGGAGGCTGTGTGGATGAGTGTGGGAGGCAGACCTATGGGGCCAGGAACCCAGGACCCTCCCGATTTGTTTCTCTGTCCTATATGACTTCCTCCTCAGGGTCACCTCATGGACTAAAGTGACTGCTAAAGTCCAACTGTTACATCTTCATTCCAGGGCACCCTGTCCTTTTAGGGACCAGTCTCTGAAGTCATAGACCCACGCGTGCGTGAGGCTTCTGCCTCCTTCTATAGGATAAGACCCAGTCACAGTCTGTATGGAAGATGGGAAAATGCAGTCTTCATGCCACGTGCCTGGCCACACCAGGGATCCCTACAGGGGCCGTCCAGCAGCCTGTGCCCACCAACCCGTCCAGCCCACGTTCTGCTCCCAGCTGGGCTCCCGGCCCTGCTGCCAGACCACAAGATGAGCAGAGTGGGGAAGGGCGGGGCAGAGGGTGACCCAGTGGTCCTCTCCTTCCCACACAGCTACGCACCCCTGTGTATCAGGCCATGCACACACCCCTGTGAGGTGGCATTTCCCGAGGGGAGAAAACCGTAGTGGGAGAGCTGGGGACGCCCTGGCTGGAAGTAAGTAGGGGTCAGTAGGTGGCCCTAGAGCACGCCTGGGGAAGTAGCCAGAGTTGCAAGAGAACTGCCCCGGCTGAGCTGACCTCTGGGGTCCCTGCCGTGGCTCTCTTGGTTTCTGAGAAGGTCTGCGTGCATCTCGCTACCCTCCAGGTAGGCCAGGCACGGAGCTGCCTCCTGCTGTCTCCTGGGCCCGTGGGCTACCATGTCCTGGCCTGGGGACTGGGGCCTCTCTGTGGGGAAGGTGGGGGAGGTTGCAGGTGTTTGGGTCGGATCTGGGCAGCCTGGGAGACGGGGGGAAGGGGTGAAGCAGGGTCTGGGGCTGTGGGGTGGACACAGGGAAGGGGATGCCTATGGAACAGAGGGCGGGGGCCACAGCAGACCCCTGGGCAGCGGAGCTCTCCCTCCCAGGAGTGCTGACTGAGGGAGGTCAGTGGTCATCTGCTCACACGATCCCTTCCTCATCCTGCCCCCTTGCTCTCCCCGCCTCCTGCCCTGGAGAACTTCATGGGGATGGAAGATGACTTTGGGGTGACAGCAACATTCCTAAGTGGCTGGCGAGATTTTGAGGATATTTGATGCCCCCCCCTCCCGCACATGCTAACCCTGCTTGCGGTGACCCCTCTCTCCACCGGGGGTCCTCCAATGTGGTGGCAGGATGCAGGTGTCTGCAAGGGTCCGAAGGTGTCGTGGGGGCACCCGAGGGTGTACGATCTCTGAAACAAGGTCAGTGGGGCCATGGTCAACAGAGGGACAGGACATGGTGCACATGGACACAGGGGACGGGCATGGGCTCAAGGGAAGCTGGTGGGCGAATGCCGACTCCCATGTGTGCCGGGCTGCTGCCCCCTGCCCCCTGCCCGCAGTCCCCTGGATGCCCTCTCACCCTTCCCCGGCCTGGAGCCGCTGCATCCAGGACGCCACTAGGTGGCAGCACTCACTGCCGCGGAGCCAGACCCAGGCTGAGGCGGCCCAAGGGACCCTCCAGCTTCCCGCCTGGGATTCTTGAACCTTCCCCTGGGGAGGACCAATCCTGCCCCCTCCCTCCCTGCGAGAGCGAGGTGAGCGGTCAGACACAACCCCCACATATGGTCTGCTCTGAGCGCCTGCCAGCCAGCGGCCCCGCCAGAGGGTCTGCAGGCCCTGCCCCGGGGCAGAGGGGTAGTAGCCGCCTCTCCTGCGCCCGTGCGTGCACATGTGTGTGCTCACGTGTGCGCGTGCTCGCATGTGGATGCGTGGGCATACGTGTGCTGTGTGTGCTCATGTGTGCGTGTCGTGTGCAAGAGCTCATGTGAGCACGAGCTCATCGTGCGACAGGAAGCAAGGCCAGGGACATCCATGAGGCAGCCCACAGGAGGAGGGGCCTTGGGGAGGCCAGGGCGGGAGTGGGGGGCGGGGTGGTCACAGGCTGGCCCGTCGGGCCTGTGTGGCCGGCCCGACCCTGGGTCAGCCATTCTGCTGGGCCTCTGGTGAGCCTGGACCCTGCCTGTCCAGTGCCGGGAGTCCTCGAGGACCTGAGACCCAGGGAGGGAGCCACAGGCAGGAAGCTGGCCCCGTTCGGACGCCACCATGTCTGGCTTCACCCCGACCCAGAACCTGGGGCACAAGAGGGGGGCACCCACCAACCCCCTGAC